GCTGAGGCTGAGCCTTCCCAATCCTCCTGCCCTGCGTATGATGAGCTTTTGGAAATTAAATCTTCCCAGATAGTGACGTAGATATGTGGGGGCGTGTTAGAACGAGCCGTTTTAGGTAGGCGTGGTTGACTCTTAACTTTTATAAAGAATATCTCTTTGGATTTGAGACTTTAGTCTTTGCAACTTTACAGAACTTTTTTACGCACCAAGAGCTTGTAACACACCAAAGAGAAAGGAAAAATTGAAATCGCATCATATGACCCCTTTAAGCGGATCATAAAAAGCATGAAAGATCATTATACTGTTATACTGATACATTATACTATACATATATTCTGTATGTATATATTGGAATAAAATGCATGAATGCAAATCAGACGAACCCAATCCTTTTTCCTTGCTCTTTAAAGTAGTACATCAATCCCAAACCTGATTTCCCTTGCAAATCTATGTGAAAATGCATATAACATGTTAAGTTCAGGAAGTTTTTCCAACAATAGGAGTAAAATTAATTGGAAAATGCCATTTCACCCACCTGTTCTGCCCTTGGGAGAAAGATTGCAACACTGGATTTATTAAATTTACATAATTGTTTTACTCATAAGGTGTTTTCATCAGTGGATATAAAACACATCAGACAGGTTATTGTGCATAACAACCTTGATGGATAGTTATTGTTTATGAGTGTAAAGGGTGATTCATTTCACCTATGAGATAATAATTAATATTTTATAATAGGACAAATAGCTTTCTGAGCCTACATGCTTGTCTGTTGGAGTGAAATCACAAGCTACACACAATGAGTCTGACAGTAATCTAAGCAAAAGACCACATCACTTTTGTTCCACTATAACCCTGAGCATTCCAATAATAATCAATTTAAGAGCCTTGGTTTTGTTAGCATTGTAATGAAGGCCATTTATCTCTTTTTGTATGCACACCTTTACAGATGAAGCGGCGATCATTCAGTCACGAGGGCCTGATTTCACAATACTTGTGCATTGCATCACAGGCTTGGCATGAAGGATTACCTTGTGCCTTCTGTGCTGAAATTCCCCTTGTTATCACCTCTTCAAAGTCTTTTTAAGGGAAATTGTTAATTTATAATGATTTATAATTTATAATGTTTATAGGTTATTCAGGTAGAGGGGGTGGCAAACCATCCTGAATTCAACATTATTTGCCTACAAGGTGGCAAACTTGGGGCTTTTTACTTTATTTTTGTGAGAGGAGGGGAAACAAAATAAGATTATGATGATTACATTTGCCTAATCTGTATAATTGTCAGAGTAAGGTTTTATAAAGTGGCTAGGAATTTGTAACCCAGTCTAATTCTTTTTCACTCTGAGCCAGAAACTAGGCTATATTTGTTTGTTTTCTTCTTTCTTCTTCTTTTTTGTTAAAGCCTATTGCTATTATTATAGTTTGAAATGTAACATTAAAGTAAGATTACAAATGTCATAGCTTGTATTAAAAGACTTGAAAGGCACAGAACTGTAGGAATGGCCCAGTAGTAATACAGCAACCTACAAATCACGGCTCTTTCATTAGTCGAGATTTCATCACTCTGATTGGCCAGTGAGACTGACGTCACGTGACGTCCCCGAACTCTGTCTAACTTTTTTTAACTTGACAATAAGAGAAGCGTCGCATTACACCAACCGCGTTTCCACGAGAAAGTAGCCGAAAATGATTCGGTTCTGACAGGCCGGCAAACATTGGATGTACTTTGATTTGTGTTGTCATTTGTTTTTTTAATAGTTAGCATTGTTTCCGGAGTGTAAAAGAATCAACACGTAGTTGGAAAAGTCGGTAAAACACGCCATCCTTTACAGGATGGATAAATCCACAACGATGAAAGTCATGGTAAGAAATCTCACGGGTATTGTTGGGGGTCGTTTTGTTAAACAGTGCGTATTTTTCAGAGTATTGGATACTTTCGTTGTTCATCTGTGTTTGTCGCAAACATGGATATGACTGTGAATTCCTGGTGTGATCAGTCATAACGCTTTGAATGTTACGAAGCCAGTGTCTATGATTATGCGTTACTCGATCAGACTTTTCGATGCACATCAAGTGTGTTTTATTATAAACGTGCCCTTGTTTGTTTTTTTTTTTCTTCTTTAATAACATTTCGATCAATTTAGTCATTTTTCTGTTTTAATCTGATGTGAAAGGCTTGTATTATCGCATAAATGAAAGTGGATAGTGAACAAACTGAACTGGCCATACTGGCCGCTGATATTTTTTATTGTGGTTCAGAGTTCAGAACTCTAAAACATTTACAAATATTAACATGGTGTCAGGTTTTTATATTGAGTTTTGATTTCATGACTAATATCAGAAAACCTTTTAATACACACTTTATGAGATAATACAAGTCATGTGTAGTTTTGAAAGACATTGTAGAAATAAGTCTTGTACAGTCTCAAAACTTAGTGAGCTGCCTACCTAGGCAACATTTTCCGCCATTCAATGCAATGCCAAAAAGTGCTGTCTAGCTAGGTTTTGAGACAGGCATAATGTGTGGTGTTTCAAGATGTATTATTTTTTTTTATTAAAAAAACTACTACAGAGATTAAACAATATTACTTTTTCTGGCTAACTATGTATAGTTTTCGATACAGATTTGATTTCTTATTCATTTCAAATTTTTGACACAATAATGAGTAAAATGATCATTAGGCTCCAACAATAAAAAATATGCATTATAAATATTTTATAATTAATAATAATTATATTGATTATTAGAAATAGTAGTAATATATTTATTTATTTCAAATTAATTGCAATATAGATAGATATAAATTTATTTTCATTTATTTAAAATGTGTATTTATAAAGATGCATGTTATTCACTTAAGAATCAATGGCTATTATTATTAAATAATTACATTTTTGCAAATACTATTTTGGGTGCTGATTTTAGAGGCCCAGCAAATAGTAGCATATTGGTTGGTAGAGTGGAAATATTGGTTAAAAATATCAGCTGAACCAATTATCGATCATTTCCGCTAGAAAACCAGTTCCCAGACTTCTCTTCTCTTATGAACCTTGCCTTGTGAGAGTTTTCGAAGAGTAGTGCCAGTGTTAAGTTTATTCCACGTTGAAAGGGCCATTCACTGCCCTTCTGTTGGTTTTTCCAGCTCTGCTCTGCCAAAAGTGGCACTATAAAAACGCTTCACTGACTGAATGCCGAGACTCACCTTTAAAACTTTCCCTAGAGTCTAGAGCCACGCTCAGCTCCCACTGTGTATGTTTAACTTAAAATCACACCATTCCATTAAGCAGCGTATTGAAAAACACAGGATGGTTCTTGCATTGAACTTAAGTGTATTTTGTGTAAATGCATGTATTATGTAATTATATACTCATATAAAGAAGCAATTTAATTAGTAAATTAGATAATGAAATCATCAAAGGGAATGTTGGCCATTTTAACTAGTAATCTTACAGTAACTGTTACCTCAACAACCTCTCTGTCCCGTAAGTCCCAGGTAAACTCACTCTACTTAGAAGCCCATGTTTGTTTATTGAAATGACAGGGCAGAGATTGTTTGCAACATGACTGTTTATGGACGCTGTAAACTTTGCTAAGTTATGGGTCTGCTCTGGTTGACTGGTTACTAGATGAAGATAGCTCATCCTTGCCAGTCTGCATAGCTCAAACATTCCTGGGCCAGTGAGAGCGGATGGGGAGGGGGTGGACGGAGGCGTACGGCTCCCACTGTAAACTTCCTGTCAACACAGATGGCAGTGACAGGAATCAGATCTTTGTATACTTTTTTTCCACCCACAGTCACAAACATTTTGCATACAATCGAAGCAGGGGTCCCTGCTCTTGAAGTCTTTCCATTTTCTTCCTTTTGTGCGTGGGATAACTTAGGATCACAAACAGATACATGTTATTTCTTTTCACTTTGTGCACAGATTTCTCTCTCTTTCTCCCCCCGTCTTGACCTTTTTTTGTCCTCTCACACTCCTTCGATGTTATCGGAGTGTGCTCTCCAGGGTGTGGGCATGGACAGGAAGTGTGCACGGTATCTCTCCGAGCGGCTCTGAAATCCAAACAGGACATGTGCTACATACCTCCGGATCCACAAGAAAGACTCCAGAACGCAGTCGACATCCCGCTGCTCGTTAGGAGCCTTTTAAAGCCTCTTTCCACCGTCAGATGTTTATAGAATCCACATTTACGAGGAGACCGGAAGAGAGAAGTTTGTGTGATGCAATTAAATGCAACGCTCATTATCAGAGTAATCAGAATGATGTGAATGTGTGGGAGCCTGTGTGTGTTTTAGAAATCGTACCGTATCTGTTTCTTAGTCTATGCTGTAGATTACCCACAATAAACAAGGACCAGAAGTGTTTATACTGAGATGAGAAGCACATTTATCCTGCTCTCAAGCTTTACAGCTATTATGCAAGGATGTTGTTTTGTTGATGAGTAGTTGACATGAAATGCTTCAGGGAACTCTCCATTCAATTATTTTTTTTTTAGTTTGTAATTAGTATGCATGGAGCTTTTATAAACATTTAAAATGTGTATATTTTATATGTTTTTGTTTTATATTAGATGAGAAATTTTTTGCACAGTGATTTTAGGCTAAAATCATATGTTGATGATATGAGTAGTAGATGTGATGATGCTGCTAATACATTATTTGTCTTGCTGAGGGAAATTTGTTTGACATGAAATGCTTTAGGGATGTTGACTTTCATGCAATTTGATGTTACACATCAAAAATGATTTTAAACTGCGTTTTGCTAATTCTTTAATAATTGTTATACTTGCAACTTTTTTTTAAATTATTTTTAAATATATATATTTAAAAATAATATATTTTTTGTAGATTTTTTTTTTGTTTTTTTTTTTGTATATTTTAAAAAATAATTTATAAGATTTTAAAAGTGCAAATATTCTGTAGTCTCTCAATTAATATAAGTCATATACATACGCAAAATATATTATTGCCTTTTTGACTTATTTGGCTTATATTAATTGCATTTTTAAATACTTAAATACTTTATTGTTTAAAAAGTATTTTACCTATTTAAAAGAAAATAGCATAGGACCATTTAAAATGAATAAGTAAGGCAAACACTTGTTTAAAAATAGTGAAAAACTTGGTGGTTACGTGACCTAAGATGTAGACATTCATAAAAATGTTAACCTAAAACTTAATGTTAAATAGAGAGATCATACGTTTTTGTGAGTCATAAAATCATGTGCAAAATTGGCAGCTTATTCATCCTCCTTGTGACATATCTTAAAGTCGTGTGGCTTTAAAAAGTTCAAGTGTGGGAGAAAAAATGAAAGATTATTTGCAGTCGAAATGAAAGCGTGTGGGTTTGTGGTTAGGCTTATTTCATTGGCCATTTAGCTCGTCCCAGGAAAGGTGAGGCATTTGTCAGTGTTTCATTTATTTCTAAGGTGGCCACACCTTACAGGTCACTGCACCCAGATTCAGTGACTGAACGAGAGATGTGTTACATATATTACAATGCGCCTGCTATTCAGCTACCCTTCTATTCAACCCCATTGACTTAACAAACGCTAATAGTGTGCATTTCTGTGTGTGTGTGTTCACACGTACCCCCTATCCAGTGTCTTCAGACAATAATTTCCCATCGGTTCGACTTAAAATTGAACAGTCATTGGCCATCCTTCCTCCTTGAAAACAACACCCACTCGCTCTTTTATTCTCATGTCTTCTCCTCCCATGAATCCACAGGTAAAACACAGATTGGGTAACTTGCCACTGTGGCAAACACGCTTGAATTAGGGTGTGTGCTTGCTTGTAGGAAATTAGATGAGGGTGTTATGTCTCACTGGAGCTAATGGATAATAGTGTCAGTTTGTAGCTTGGTCACACCTTGCAGATGTTTTCCATGTGCATTTGCCGTGTGGATGGGAGTATTAATGTTAAACCTTATCTTGGTATTGATGTCAGGGGGCAAAGAGCAACTGTTTAGGTTTCTATAAATAGACAAAAGCACTAAATGACAACACTATATTGATATTCCTCAGGTGTTCTGATTAGAGGCTTTTGCTAAATAATTATGTAACCTATGTATTACCTATATTTTATTTTTAATTTAGTATGCGTTCGTCATATATTTCTATATATATCATATATTTAAAAAATATATATATACTTATTTTTTCACTGATATTTATCAAGAGACTATTTTATTTATTTATTTATTTATTCACAATAATTTTAGCTTAAAGCACTGAGCAAATATGCACAGGCTTCATTAAAACAATTTTTAGAATTAGTTTTTTTTTTTTTTTTTTAGTTTTTTTAGGAATGTTTATTATTTTGAATCATGCTGGCCTTTCAATAAAAGCCTTTCTGCAAATCCTTATAACAGAATAAATTACAAAATACTCTAGTGTTGTATTGTAAGCATCAACCCACTCCTACTTCAGTCAGAGTACAGTATAGTTGTTTTGAAGCTGTAATAAGTCTTGTAAAAGTAAACCTAATTACTCATTATTTGAAGAATATAGTAGTTGACCAACATAGCTAATTAACATTTGCATTACATTACAACATACATATGCAATACATGAACACCAAGCTAAATGATAATGGGTAAAATAATCTAGAACTCCTTGTGTTATTGTTAAAGAAAATTTTAAGCTATGTGTGTGTGTGTGTGTGTGTGTGTGTGTGTGTGTGTGTATATTATGTAACCTATGTATTACCTATATTTTATTTTTAATTTAGTATGCGTTCGTCATATATTTCTATATATATCATATATTTAAAAAATATATATATACTTATTTTTTCACTGATATTTATCAAGAGACTATTTTATTTTTTTTTTATTTTTTTCACAATAATTTTAGCTTA